CCATTGATATTCTACTTGGTACAGAATATAACTTTACTAAATGCTGTTAGAGCAATATAGTAAATATTATTTACTATTGCATCTTTTTGTGTAAGTTTATAAAATTATTGTTGAAAGATGTGAAAATAAAGAAAATATTAATAGTGGAAAAATAAAATATTAGAGTTAATTTCTGTAATTGAAATGTAGAAAATATAATTATTTTAGTGATAAAATTGTGCAAATTACATTTTTATCTTTTATTTGTCTAAAGTTAAATGAAATTACTGAAGGGGGGTCTAAAGAATTTCCCTATATTTGATGACATCTCTACTTCTTTTTAGCACAATCTAATAGTCTGGAATTTTGCTTTTCTTGTGCAGACAAATGCTCTATTTGGAGGGATTTCACTTGTCAGCCAGTCACATAAAGAACCAGATGATAAGGAGGTGGCAGCTGTTGGTGCTGCTTGTGCTTTCCTGCATGTTGCCTTCAAGACTCTACCCCTTGAAAGAATCATGACGGTGCTAGCTTATAGAACTGAGCTTATTCCAGTGCTCTGGAATTTTATGGAGCGGTCTCATAAGAATAAAAAATGGTCATCTTTGCCTGTACACTTGGCATATCTCTCAGGGGATGCCCCTGGTTGGTTGCTACCCCTGGCTGTTTTCTGTCCTGTTTACAAGTAAGATTAGTTTCTTAATTCTGGTGGTTTTCCTGATGTATTAGCTATGTCTTTTCAAAAATTTATTTCTTTTTTATGCTAGATCTATATATATATCTATTTGAGCCTGGTATAAGTGTGCCTCGCTACTCTTAACTGCTTTCTTGTTGATCAGGCACATGCTTATGATAGTTGATAATGAGGAGTTTTATGAGAGAGAGAAGCCATTATCTTTGAAGGATATCAGATGCCTAATTGTCATTTTGAGACAGGTTTGTTTCTAAACTACATATTTTTCAACATACATTTTAAAGTGGATATAAATTTTTTAATTTTCTGAAATTTCTCAAATGGCAAAAAGATCTTACGTCAGTTCTTAATTTAAATGTTCAATATCCAACGTAAAATTCGATAGACATGAAACATTGAACTGCCGGTATGATATCAATTTTTTTGCTCTTTGGGTGTAGCTATGTCCCAAGGATGTAATTAAGCTTGGGATTGAACCCATGTCCTCAATGTGTGAGGAGAGTTACCAAGTCCTCATGGTTAGATGCTGTAAGGAATTAGGGCTGACACTAAGATTTCTTTTGGCCAGATGGGTATAGTTCGTAGAAGCATAACTTGAATGGAAGTTGGTCTTTTCTAAGTGAGATTACCAACGTGTTTGTTAGTGTTTGATGACCAACTTTTGGGACATTATCAGAGTGTGCATATGCCACCACCTAACAACACTCACCCGGTCAATTTGATTAAAATGTGGAAGTTTGTGGATCCGGGACATAAGTGCTTTTTTTCTAACCAAACAGGGATCACTGGGAAAAGACCCTACAGGAGCACCTTTACAGTGGAGAGGTTCAGGATTTGGAGGTTAAGCATGCTCGAACTTCCAGCCCCACACCCTTACTATGTTAAATTCTATTCTTTCATTTTCTTTTGCAATTGGTCTGAATCTATCGGTGCTCTTTAATTCTTCTTCTTCTTTTCAAGAAAAATTTGGTATATTATTTTCAAATTATATGTCTCGACTGATACATGCATTTGCTCAATGCTTCAGGCCTTGTGGCAGCTGCTCTGGGTTAATCCAATGATGCACTCTAATAAGGGAAAATCTGTGGCTCACATCTTTGTTCATAAAAAAGGCCCTCTTGATGTTATTGAGAATAAAGTTAGCACTGCAGTCTCTGGGCTTCTCTCTCAGGTGTGCAGTCGTTGTGAATTTTTTTTTTTTGAGATAAACAGTTGTTGAGAAATATCTGGTCTCTTGTTTAATAGATTTTTTCTTTGGCTTTTTTACTGAACATTTTAGTGTTTTATATTCTTATGGTAATTTTTATATATCTCTTTAGATTTTTAGCTTCACTATTTTGGTGAACAAAAATTATGCTCTTGATAGATGGCAGTATGCTGCAAGGATTATTATATTTTGTTTTTTTGAGATAAAAAGTATGATGTGCATATATTAACAAAGTACCAAAAATGAGGTACCGCCCATTATTAGGGATGAGGATTTTGGACATGCCACAAGGATTGTGCTCTTTAGTTTTCCTAATTTGTCATATAAATTACTGCTGTAGTTACAAGACTGGAATAATAGACGACAGTTCACTTCTCCTGGTGACTTTCATGCTGAGGATGTCAATGATTTGTTTATCTCTCAGGTAATTGCTTCTAAATTGCATCTTCATTTCCTTGGATTTCTGCTTTCTAACATCTTTTTTGTTTTCCAGGCTGTAATAGAAGGTACAAGAGCATATGAGATATTGAAGCAAGCTCCTTTCCTGGTACCATTCACAAGCAGAGTTAGAATATTCTCAGTAAGTGACGAACAGGTTTTGAGTTTGCCTTTGATTTTTGGTTGGACAGCATTGTAAGATGATGACTGAGTTTGGATGCCGTTGTTTTTTGGAGTTCCTAGTGAAGAAATTTTTTTTTCACTAACATTTTCTCTTTTTGATTTATTTGCTATTGTTTGCCAGCAACAACTAACAAATGTTAGACAAAGACAAGGGTCTCATGGTGTTGTTCCCCGAAACCGATTTAGAATACGGCGGCATCACATTTTGGAAGATGCTTACAATCAAATGAGTGCATTATCTGAAGAAGACCTACGAGGACTGGTAATGTATTTAGATCCTGTCTCATAGATGCATGATTGTGTATGTATTGAAATAACTATTTGGATAGTTATTCTCTGCTTTCTCATAGCAATTCTGATCTATGAACACTGGAGTAATTCTGTTTGCTGTTTTTACCTATAGATTCGTGTAACATTCGTCAATGAATTTGGAGTTGAGGAGGCTGGTATCGACGGAGGTGGTATTTTTAAAGATTTTATGGAGAACATTACGCGAGCAGCGTTTGATGTACAATATGGGTTATTCAAGGTTATAACATATCCAACTACTTGCATTTGTGATTTCCATCTTTTTCTTTTTCGTAGGATAAAAATATATTAGATGGGGGGGGGGGGGGGGAATGCAACTTAGGAGGGGGATAAGGTATCCTGCAGAAATTTAAAAGAGCAGAAGCATAGAATTAAACAAAGAAGAAAAAAAGTACCAATACTAAATAATGGCCTCCATCCTCCCTCCCTAATCCTTGAACAGTCATAGATACAGATGGATCTACTTGTATACCATGTTGCGTGCAAGTTTCTATCAGATATTCATATCCTTTGGATGGGGAATATTCCAGAGCATCTGTTGTAATGAAGGAGTGGAAGGTAGCATGCTTGTTTTATCAGCAACTGGAAGAAAGCATGATCTTTTGCAGAACAGGAAGCAGTCATAATTAGTAGAC